AAGCTTTATACTTTTTTATATAATCAATGATTTTCTCTCGTTGCAGGAAAACAAATTACTACATGACTCAGGGCTACAATGATAATCTATACGGTTCACATTACGTTTCGAGTCACGAGCCGTCCGGCAGCGAGGCATATCCAAGTCTCGGCGATCAATGCACCTCAAGTCGGGGTGGTAGGTTGCGACCGTCACAATTGTCACCGGCTTCGTCGAGTAACGCTTTCAACAATTTCATGCCCACAATGGCGTTTGTCAACAACACTCTTATCAGGGGAAGATTCATGAGCATCGACAGGGACATTCTACCACCGCCACCACTACCAGGAGAAATCATGTCTCCTCTCTCCATGAATGGTATGTTAGTTATGTTAATTATTATCACTTATAGTAATCGTATTTGAGTGAGTTTCTTAAAAAGATAACAAGAGTAATAATAATTTATTTTGCACGATGTTTTCAGGTTTTATACCTCCACACTTGCTGAACAGGAGCGGAAGTCGGTTGGATAGTCCTCTATTAAGCCAACGTTTGACACCCACATTGTCGAATCATTCAGGCCAACTGGGAGCGGACGAGACAGATCTAGCATTGCAGGATCTTCCACTATTTTCGCTCATCTCTGGTCTCACCCTGTCAAGACTCATCTCATCTTCGTGCAACATCCCGCCACTTCTACCATCGCTGTCTTTTTCATCGGTCGCCAACGGATTCACGGCGCCGTTATTTTTGACAAACGGCAATATCGCGAAGATGATTGCAATCAATCTGCCAAAGTTTAGGCCTCTGAAAAGCATTGTGAATGGTCAGCTAAAGAAATCCGTCAATCTGAATATTCCATTGGTCGATCCGTGAAACAACTTGCTCAAAACGATTTGCGAAGATACATTAGTAGGGGGGCAACGGGCATTTCTACACTCAGGGATCTCGCTTGCGGTTACGCGGCGTCGGGGGGGGCTTCGCTGTCGCGGGGGGAGCGCCGTAAGCGGTGGGCGCGGGGGTCGAGGGACGGTGTAAAGGGTCATCGGAGGGGGGGCTATGCGGGGGG